TTGATATTTACCAACAGACAAAGAACCTGTAGATACTTCCTAATAGCATCAAATTTAAATAACTCTTCAATGAGTACACTATCCTTGAAATTCAACAATCTTTTCCAGGCTATGAACAAAGTTGAGATTAACTTCTTTAGTTTTGTTATGAAAGTCATTATTAGTTCTAGCATCCATTTCCTTCATGGAAGAATTTAGAATTTTTCATCAAACTTCCTTTCAATAAGAATGAACATATCAATCCCACAAAAATGTCTCATCCTAGAATGAATCCAGAAGATCTAGCTCTAGTATGACATGAATGTACAACTTTACTTAAACAAGGGCTTATTAAGACAACCAAGTCAGACTAAGCATGCTTAGTATTCCATGTTGAGAAAATGTCAAAAAAATAATAAGGAAAGGAGGTTAATAATTGATTATAAGCCTCGCGATGCCTTCATACAAGATGATAAGTTTTCTCTTATAAAGATTAACACTCAATTAATCCATTTGAAGTGGGCTAATATATTCTTAAAATTTAATCTCAAAGTAAGATTTTGATAATTAGGAATGGATCCAATAGATTGAAGTCTCCCTACTCTAATCATCATTAATTCCAAACTAAGGTAATCAAGGGTTTAAACCCAATAAGAATTATTAAATTTTCACAAATTACATAAATGGGATAAAAAAATTTAACAATTTATAAATGGGAAATGGGATCTTATGTTTTCAATATTTAAAATACTTCTATATACTTTTAGTGTATCTAAATCAGAGTTTAAAATATGTGCAGAAATATAAGAATCAAGAAATAATCAAAACATTTACATATAACTTTAAAATAGTAAACTACATAAAAAAACAGCACATGCATTGTGACTCAACGCTCCTACGCCACTGTGTTAATGTCTTTGTGCCCTGTGCTGTGACACATTACACAATTTTAATAGCATTTGCTATCAAATTAACAGCATAGGGGATGAACTTTCGATGAGTCCTAAATCTTCGTCTAACATCCAATTTAGGTGATTTTGATGTCTGCAGAGAGATTTTGTTTAGCTCTAACTAATGGTATGAGTTTCATAACTAAATCATTTTTTTTATCAAAAGATGGATACCCAACATCAATTTCAATCATTTTTCACCAATACACACAATTAGGGTGTTTAAACTCACACACATATGCCAAAAACCTACATCAACCTTTAGACAATACTTAATGAACTATTTTAGATTCATACAATACACCACAACCAGTCAAATTCATATATAACATAATTTCAACTCCCAACCTCTAAATTCACAAAACATAAAGGGGAGAAATTTTTTTCACAAAATCATCAATATGCTTCATAACATCCTAAAAATACACTTTACTCTACTTGCACAAGTATGTCAGCCTTGTACAAGCTTTACAACCACATTACCACTAGCTTAAAGCACAAAATACACATGATTTTCACATTACTAATGCAAGTAGATTAAAATAATGATATGAGCCCTAATTGGCAAGTTAACAACTTGGATACACATAAAAAACAAACAAATCTAAAAGGTATACAAGTAGGATTTACTCAGAATCCTAAGCCTCTGATCTTTTTTCCCAATTCGAATCTAATGAGCTAGGCCCTACAAATATTAAAAATGAGGGATAAGTACAACTACTCAGTAATTAAAGTTCATGTAATCTGTACAATTGCATATCAATTATAATAGATGCAAATGACAATAAACTCATAAATAAAGTATATATGACAAATATAGCTTCAGCCACAACAATAACAAACATGTAACTAAGGCAATACAACACATATCATCATATACCTCAATTATAGACATCATGGGGATGCAAAAAGAATAATCATATGTCCCTAAACACACCATACCATAATAATAATAACCATGTGCCTGGACTAAGTGTATGATTAATGCTAACCTTATATCCTTTTGTTACCTCCGACATGAAACCAATGATTATTAGTGGCTATGTCCATAACGCAGACTAACCCAGCCTTCAACTCGTGAAGAGCTATCGATTTATGGTTAACTCACTTATATAACTTGGTTTTCCCCAATACTAACAACCATAGGGTGTTATAAACTTAACCTAGCTTCCTTTTAAATTAGTGAAGACTAATTAGGTTTAAGTCCCTCGAAAGACAAGTGAGACAGTCCCAAATCAATTATAGGATAAAGGCTACCTTTTAAATTTCAACTATTAGTGCCAAGGCAAGCTTTCAATTCCAACGATAAGTCGTCAGCACCACATGAATTTATCAATCTATTCCTCTCCCCTAGACAAACTCCAGCTAATGATCATGCTATGCACATATTTATGCAATTGAACCATCAATCATATCATGTCACATACCATTTTCTCACTTTATCATACTTCACATACTAAATATTGCATATAGCACATTTTCACCATACCATGTTTTCTATTCAACATCACTAATTATATATGTAAATGACAAACATATGTTCCTCTATAATACCAAACAATTTCATATATATAAATAACCACATTGCTAAAGTTGCATTAATATATAGTTTTCTAACACCAATCAAGTTCCAACATATTTGTTTCAGTAACTAATTAATAAACAACTATACACACTAGATTTTCTCCAAATTACCTTAAACTTTTGAGAGATCAAAGGTTTATCTCTCAAAATACAAGCTTTTAAAGCTTCCAAATTAGCTTAAATGATGCCGGAATTAGACAATCTACAACTAATCACAAGGATTTTATTATTACCCCATTTTTAGACAATTGTCAACATTACAACTCCACATTATCCTTTTCATGAAAGTCATAAATTTACTACCCATTAAACCTAATGGACTTACTAAGTTTCAATGACCCACATTGATATAAATGAGTCATTAAACCATTATTAATGGCTATCAAACACTCCCACCAACCTTATTTATTGCTAATTTTCAATATTAATGGTCTCCAACTATTAACAACTCATAAAACCATAAATGTTAGGTTTAAATACTCTAAACTACTCTCATTATATCCATTTTAGTTAATGGGTTTGGACCCATAACTCATATGGACCGAAAATCACTCTTCCAACTCAAACTCTAACTTACTGTTTATAAAAATGGAAGAAAAGGGATGAGAGAAGCATAATGCCCTTATCTTGGGTGTTAGAAAGCTCTAAAAATATCTCTAATAGTCCTTAAGTATGTGCCTTAACAAAGTAATCTTGTACTTTTCATTTTTTCCTTTTTCTCTCCTCAAGTTTTTCATCTATTTCATGACTAGTATATTAGAAAAGTTGACGCATGGCACTGAGAGGTCATTCCCTTGTTGCATGTCTTTGTGCACCGCGATGAATGTCCCTCATGTCACAGTATGTGACACAAAGAACCTTCCTTTACTTTTTCCTTTACTTTTGATGCCCGAGTCGCTTGACTTCACTTCAAACTGACATTTAGGATTGAAATCACTATCAAACACTTAGTAAATCTTTCTAGCCACATACCACATTAATTCTCTTAATTACCCTCATTAAGCTTAATTATAGCTCGTCGTTTCTCTAAGCAAGAACTTGCTGATGATTTACTATGGCATTGACTCTTCCTATGTGAACTTGGATTGTTGCCTTCATGAATTGAAGAAAGGAGACAAATCAAGAGAGAGATAGTGTTGCAAGTCTAAAAGTGTCTCGAATCAAAGAAGGAAAATGATGATGGTTGCCTTCATGATCTTTCTTTTTCTCTAAACTTGCCTTCACGATTATTGTGAATTGGGCTGACTTTAATTTCTTGAGTGTTGAATCTGATTGTTGTTTCAATGGTAGTTTTTGTTGATTGTTGAATCTAGATTGCATTGCCTTCGATTTCTCTGCTGATGCTTCTTTTAGTAGATTTGGCGAAGGGTGGCTAAGTTAGGCTAGTGTTTTTTCAAAAAAATTTTAATGAGGATATTTTAGTCTTTTAATAGTATTAACATCGTATTTTTTATAAAAATTATACCAAGATTCCATGAATATACTAAACATTTATTTTTAAACCTCTTGCATATTTCATTTTTATATCTACTTCCATTACCAAACATAGTTTTTTATGAAATATTTAAGAAGTAATATTAGACTAAATATTCATAAATGTTTTTGTTTTGCATTTTTTTACATAACTACATTTTTTTTTATTTTTACATAACTACAGTCTACTATACACTATATACCACTGTTAATAGCAGATGGCTATTCAACGAGCACGATTTTGTATAATTAATAATAATTAAACCATGCACCGACACTCAATTAATTTGGAGAATTGGAACCTTTGTATTTTCTCCTCTCCACACCTTTACTAGTTTCTACTCGATAAAGAAGGTTTCCTTTTCGAGAGCCCCAGTACGTGGTGGGGTTCAGAAGTGTTAAACATAAGCTCCCAAGAGTCCGGTCTTGGTGCTTATCAAGTGATGAGTGCTATAAATTTAAATCATTTAAATTTTTATTTGGACGGTTTGGATTTATAGTTTTTATTTTTGTTGTAAAAAATTATAATAAATAAATTTACCTTATCATCAATCAATTTAAACAATATATATTTGATTTGAATGGTCTAATTTAATATTATTTTTTAAAATTATAAAAATTTTAAAATAAATAATATTAAATTGAATCATTCAAATTAAATCTTTATTATTTAGATTGATGATAAGATAAATTTATTAAAATTTTATATTTTTTATTTTAATAAATAAAAATAAAAACTAAAAAATCTGGACGGATTGCAATGAGCACTTTAACCAATCGCAAACTCCTAGACAAGTTTTTGAAGAATTTACATGTACCTTTGGAGCCCTTAATTTATATTCCAGTTAAAAAGCTTAGCCTTCAGACTTTTTCGTGTCAGCGAACTTCATGGAAGCGCCATCAAATTAAATTTTAATAATTTGAAAACATACGATCAGGGCGCGACAGCATATACATATCAATATCCCATCACCTGAAAATCCAACATCTGAAAGAAGGGGACCACAGCTTTCAAATGAATGCGAGGGGGGCAAGGCCCACCGCCATCATCTTCATCACTCCATCTTTGAAAATCATGTTCGGACACGGTGACCAACAAGTGCCAGAATGATATGAACAATAATCCACTGCTATATCAGCCCACTCCAGAACACACAAAATATATGGAAGCTGGGATGCGAGAAAGATTATACTTGCACCCTAGCTAGCTAGTTTGACAAGACTGCAACAACCTAGCTACATGCACACCAGCTACTTGGAGAACAAATTTAACAAGGGTTTTCGATGACTTTGGTGGCCGACACTCCATCATCTTTTTTATTTGGAGATAATTATGCTTGGAGAGAATATAACCGTGGCTGTTGCGTGGCAGTTATTACGATTAATGTATACTACATCATAACACATGCAGTTTCTTTCTAAAACGACTCTCCTTCAGCTTCCGGCCATCCCTCAACCTTCAATAAGACCCCTAGCTAACCATCAATTCTTTATCCTTGAATTCTACTTTAAGTCGCAAAACCATATTCGTCAATCGTCACGACCATCAGAATGCCTCAAAACATTGGCATCTAGCTGTAGCTGAGGACTGGAAAAACGGACAACCGATATACAAGCTTGCATGTCAACAAGCCCGAGTTGTTTTCAATACAGGTAGCGTCTTGATTATCGATGGTCTGGAAATCAAGAGACACCAGGAGAAGAGAAGCTCAATCAAGAAGAAAATACCAAGGTGTAAAAAATCTCTAGCTAAAAGTTGGTTTTCCCCACTACTAATAAACTAACGGTGGAGAAGTAATATATGATCCTCAGGATCACATTTCCAATTAATTTATAATGATATCTAACATATATTGTATTTATATCATCCTGGTTCTGATTTCCAGCCCATGTCATGTGTCTGTCTAGCCATCTAAACAACAAATCGTGGAGTGGGGAAAGCAAATGTGCGACATATACATCGATCTCAGCAGCAAATAAGGCTCTTGCCTAGCACAACTCATTCAAGATGATGGATGTTGCACCAATTATACACATACACCCCCCGGATATTGCCCTTTATTGCCTCTCTCTCTCTCTCTCTCTATATATATATATATATATTTAAATATTGTTTGTTATTTCAAATATAAAAGGAGGACTAAATTTGTGTTTTACTCCCTTTATTGCCTCTATGTTTAATCGCCTAGCTCTCTTGTTAATAGAAACACTCGGCGTCTGTGTTCGTTAGGTCAGAATTATTAAGGATCGTCCGGAAGTCCATAAACAAACCAAATTATAAGTTCATACAGAACCCTAGTTTCGGTTTTATATCTCTAATAAGAATTACACTATTATTCTACTCATTACCAAGATTACACTAGATTAAAGAAAACAATACTATTCAGTGGGATCCGTCCGTTCAAACTTCTATGTATTTAGAAATATATATATATAAACATTTCCAGGCTTCCTATCTTATTTTAACCACAGATCTGGTGCATGTGCTACACAGTTATCAGCAGCAAAATTCAAAATTAATAGAAGGCTTCACCAATTCATTCATGAAGCCGATCGACTGAAACCAAAAGCCACTGATTGAAGGTCATCCACTTCATGAAAGCCCCACTGCTTTCTGTTTGCTTGCGAATCATAAGACATTGAATTCGAAGCAGCCTCATCAAAGCTAGAAAATGAGATGCTATCTTCCAGGGTTCCTGAATTTTCATAGTTCCCGATCGGGTTGGGATTCAGGAAAGGAGTGCTGCTGCTGCTCCCATAATGCTGTGTTGTTAAAGAGGAATTATTAGACATATTAGGGAGAAACTGATGCCCCGAGGTGTCGGAATTTTGGGTCTGGAACCAACCATGAAGATCGTGAGGGAAAGTGGTAATAGGTTTTCCACAGTACTTTTCATTAGGGTTTTCCATGGAAGAGGCATTGAGGAAGCTTTGAGCTGCTTGTTCCCTAAGATAAGCTAGCTGTGCTTGTAAATTGACCACCTACAAACATTATCAAAAGATTAAATTAGGGTTTCGCCTTTCAATTACAAACAGAAATTTCCATAGTAATTCATGAGATCGAGAGGATGAAACCTGCTGTTGGAGGGCGAAGATATGCGAAACACAGCCATAGATAGGATCCTGAAGCCTAGCTTGAGCTTCATATGAGATTGTGACGGCGGCTTCGGTACGGTCACTTACAGGGAGGTGAGCAAGGAGCTTGGAAACATTGCTCGCACCAAACACCTTATGAATGGCTGCAAAATGCGTAGCTCCTTGCTCATGGCAAAAGTAAGGTGCAAAAACACAACCTCTCACACATTTCCTTCTCAAGAATTTGCAGGCTCCACAAGGAGAACCAGAGCCAGTCATCTTGATTTAGTGGTTTCTCTAAGGGATTTCTGTTGTTTCTAGGTGATGATTTCTTCAGCTTTGTGCAAATCACAGTCATTAAACCACCATCTTTTTATACAGAAGAGCAAGAGGAAAGGGGTGATTAGAATAAGGAATAATTAACTACAACAGGTTCCCATAATGGCCTACACTGTTCATATTGTTTTTCCCAATATAAAACACTATCATCAACCATTCGAAAATTTTATTAGTCTGATAAATGAGATTCCGCTCAGCATCATTTCCTTAGACGACAAAAGAACTAGAATAAACCAAACGCATTTCTGTTTGCTTGATGATTGGATCTATCTTCTCCTGTTCTTTCTTTGACACCTTTCAGAATTATATATGCACATGGGTAGTACTAGCACCTTATACGGCACACCCCCAAGAATTACATATGAATAGCGGTCCACGTATATTCTTGACTGAGACAATAACATATATGAGAAAATTGAAGCACGCGCCTGGTTAATAATTGCTTACTGATTGAAAGTTGATTGTTACAGCCTTACTGTACGTAAGATAACTCATTTAATAATGTAGATGTTGATTTCACTCTTGAAAAACATCCTAATATATATCTGCCTCACGCTCGGAAGCAACAAGATTAACCGGCGTCATGCGCCTATGGATTATTCTAATTAAGAATATGCTCCACGAATGCGCACAGTCATCCAACACAAATAATTTCCCTCCTTGCCTTATTTAATTTACTAGCTAGCTAGTTGTTGTTGCAGTTGCTGTTGTTTTTATTACTATTATTATTACATAAACTATGCAATATGATATTACTACTATAAGTCTTCCATCTATTTAAAAATAATTGTCCCTTTGAAGTTTTATTGTCGTTTCAAAATAATCATCACTTCAGAATTTCAATGAATATTACTTAATTTGTCAATAATTTTACTCTTCATCAACGAGATCGCTCGATGATTGGTGGGGTCAATGTGCCATTTGATTTTAAATGCTGTTACTGCTAGTATTTTGAAACAAAGATGGGTGTACATATAGTAATTTTTTTTGGGGGGGGGGGGGGGGAACACGTGTTTAGATGTGTCCCATGGCATGACTAAGTGTATTTAAATATTGCACGAGCTAGCTATAATTCCGTCAAAACCCAGAATTGGAAAAACGAGAAAACGTTTGAAAAGCTTAAATATGTTATGGGTGTCGGCACAAATTACTATGATACATGGACTGACATAAAGAGCAAAGTGAATTAGGCCTACATTTAAGAGCGATATTGGCATCTCAGATTAACAAGTTTAACCCAAAAATTATCCACTCAGACGTTAATTATATAGGGAAAATTTAGTTGCTTCTTCAAGAGCCTCTCGAGGAGCGCTAGTGGGGATCGGTGTTTTCAGTGAACAGACAATGATAATGTTAATTAATAACACCGATTAGAAATTAAATATTCCCTCCGTTTCTATTTGTAAAAGAAAAAAATTATATCATACAGTTTCAAAAAATCAATTAATTATATTAATTGTGTATGAAGATAAAAGAATTGAATTACAATACTCTTTATTAATTGTGTTAATCAAATTTTCATTAATTGTTTCTTATGAATATGAATGATAAAATTATGAGGAGTAGTTGAGGAATTTACAATAAATGCCTATTAAAAAAATGTAATTTTACTTATATAAACAAATAAACTAAAAATGATAATTTTTTTTATAAATAAAAACGGAAGGAGTATATGTTACAAGATACAAAGGTTCAACATTTCCCAGTTGGTTCTTGTTATGAGGATAATAATTGTCCCATTAGTCCAGGTAATAATCAGAGTGTAAAGGTGCCAAAAAAGACGAGGGGCAAAAAGGAACCGTCAGATTCCAAACATTGGAAGAAACAAGAGATGATGAGGCCACTAGTTTAGAACACGATGAACTAAGAGAGTTGGGGAAAGGGGGAGATATGTTTAGTTTCCCTCCATGCCTGATTATTGATTAATCAATAAATAGTTAGTTTAAGCATCGGAGTACGCAGTTTGTCGATCAATACGGTCTAATTATTCATTAATAATAGTTTATATACTCATTCTTAACTTTCAAGTCACTTTCTTGTGTCTGGCATAAGGACCAACATGTCGACCTCGCCCAAATTGAGATCAGGCCCCACACACTCTCAACCCTAGCTAATAATGACGCCCCAACCAAAAAGCCCCAAAATAAAAAGGGGGCTGGACAAATAATCGGCAGAAATCAATATGATAGGGTTAACCATTGAGAATACAGCCAAACAATCAAGGAATTGGTATTTGCAAATATCAACTTAAATAATTTGTTCGATGGAAATGGCTCGCAACGTCATAATCTTGCCTTCAACATTTACAGCGGACACTTTCCGGATGTCAAAAGTTCAACAATGAGAGCTATGCCTATATTAGGGCACCAGAGTTTTAACCGACGATCAATAATACTCCACTCAATTGTTTGACCTTCACACATCTGTTATTAAATTGCATTGGGTGCTCGCCCATTACCTGATTTCATTAAATGGTTTGCTCAAGGCCACAGCTGTCGAGCAAGACCTCTAAATTAAATAATTAGAATTGCTCATTGTTTTGGCTTTCCTATTAACCCTCATCGATCTCTTTTTTACTCTGCTGAGCAGTTTTACTGACTCAGATCACCACACCCACTTTTATTATTGTACAGGTCTCAACCATCCCTTGCCATTATAGAGTTCGCTGGAATCAGGGTCGCTCGGTAAAGCATATTAAATCGAAGGTTACCTCGTTAGAGCTTATATAGGGACAATTATGAGGTCTCCCTGTCGATGGGTGTACACTTGATGATGATATGGATCCGTAAGTACATACATGCACTGTACATGCCAACTCGGATTACATATGACCCTGCATGGTCTTAAAATGGAACCCATCATCTCTCCGGAATGAGAGGAAAAACTTTTGGTAATCCGTGCACTTGTTTGCCACTCACGCTCGTTAGCGAGAACGAGAGTGCCCTCGGGGCAAATTTACACCGTTAATTATAGTCCCTGAATTATTAAATTCATTATATATTTACATTATCGTACATTAACTAAAATGGTGCAGATTAATTATACTATTGCAAGAGGGAAAACACGAAAAGTTTCTAAATACATCTCTCACTTTGGCAAGTATGTAATTGATAATTTCTTAGAGAACACAGTGGCACACAGCCTTTTGCTTATGCGCAGCACTAATTAAAAAGTTTAATCAAGCGTACGTGGAAGTATATTAAGGAAGACAATTCGCTGTTCGGATACTTTTAATCAGTGACACAGGTCTTTTCTTTTCGCATGTACTAAGCGTTTAGATCTGAGTGTTTTCTTAATAATTTGATTGGTAAAGACGAGCATCTTCGTCCTGACACCGTATTTGATATGGATTTCATGGTCTTCCCATTCAAAGACACATGAATTCAAAATGACTGACCCAACACCCTTTAACTTATGCTTTTCTTTTCAGGTATACGATCACATGACACCGAGTGGATCACCACAAATCTCATCCATTTAAATATTTATTTGGTTCCGGGAATAACTCTTTTCTAATGTTGTAAATTTTTGTTCATTAAGACGACAATCAGCATCCGCAGAACGAAGGAGAAAGAGTATAAGAGTGTACAATTTTCTTTCCCAGTAAGCCCTATATATGATTTAATATTACACCAAACTTAATGGTTGATGATTCATCTAATTAATAACTATCAAAAAGACGTTTTATCATCGAGTGGTGATGAGATCAGATGTTGAATATACCTTGACTATGATATGATAGTACTGTTAATAGAAACATCAATATTATATATAAATTGACACGATTGATAAGTATATAGTATTTATGTTAATAAACAGTATTTCTTTGAAAGGAGAATTGTACTACATACAGGTTTTAAACAAGAAAATCAAAAGCAAAATACTCTCATCACCCTTCTATTTTACCTTAATTGCACAAACCTCTCATCTATTTTGAAAACATACAATGGAATCAAATCCATTAACTTCGTCGGGAATATTTTAAAAAGATTTTAAAAAATTATTTTTAAATTAAAATTTATATTAAAACAAATTTTATTTGAATTATATTATTTTGAAAGTTACATAATTTCATTGTAGAAAACATGTTTACAAATTTTAAAATTTAAATTTAAATTATTTATATAATCTCAAACTTATATTATTTGATGAACAAAAATAAGTATTTTCAAAATACAGGGGATTTTTGCATAATTAAGGCATAATAGGTGGTCAGTGTATTCTATTCTTAAATCAATTACCTATATGTACTAACTACCGGTAGGTACACCGAATTTTGACATATAAATACTATAATTTGATATCAAAATGGGATTGATAAATTAAAATGATTAATTTTTGGGGACTTGTTTGCAATTTTTCTTTTATTTTATACATGATAAAAATATTAATTTTATATATAATATAAAGCTCTCGGTAAATTGAGTTTATATATAGTATGCTTTTAATTTTACTTTAAAATCGAATTCCATGTTCAGGGGGAAAACAAATTGACTGTACGCATGAGGATGCATGCCTTAGCTAACAACATTGTTTGACAAGGAAAAATTATTGATGAATATGAATACATAAAACTATGTATCTGAAGGCATGAGAAGGTTCCCTGAACATAGGTATATGTATGTCCTTAGTCGGTACATTATGTCCCACAAGTCATCACCACGACACAAGCAATATTAATTTATGTAGATGATAATCGGAGTCTGATCAGGCAAACTCTGGTGATGTTCTGCAAAATTCTTATGTATGATTGCATATAGCGAATATAAATATGTAGGAAATTGGTGTGGAGTTATTTTGTGGACTGGCATTAAACTGGAAAGGAGGAAAACTGATACACTTTACGGATGAAGATTTCGTTCGTCCACCAGCTCCAGCTAATTTGGTTTTGTCTCTGTCCAGAGAGGCACCCCATTCTTCTGCGGATAAGGCACTGTTTTTTTTTAATATTATTATATTTAGTCAACTCACTTTAATTATTATTCCCAACATTGTGCTCTTACAATTCCCTGTCTCTCATTTCTAGTTTCTGCTCCATCATCAACTGTACACCATAATTTTCTCATTTTCACACATTTGCGTCTTTCTTTCTCTTTTTTCTCTCCCTCTGT